GTATGTTGACTTAATAATAAAAAACGTATTATCTGCAATAATGGAAAAGTACTTACTTTTTTTAATATCATTTAATAAAACTTCTTCAATTGCATTTCCACAACACTCAATTAACTCGTTTTGAATGGTCTTTGAAATATATGTGGAATTTTTGGGGGCAGAGAGAAGATGCTCCTTTAAAATTAAATCACTTGCATCAACCCTAAAATTTAAAAGCTCAATGAAATTACCTAGCCCTGTATTTTTTGAAGATTCTCCAATTTCTCCTTGATATTTTCTATCGTCTCTATGACCTCGTAGAGGCATATCACTTCGACCTAAAAATATTATAGTCTTAACAATTGATTCAAGCTTTTTTTTGTTTTCTTCTATACGCTGTTTCCTAGAACTATCTAAAGAAACTTCAATAGGAAAAGAATTATTTTTAGCTCTAGATAAAAGCATATTATAACAATGCATGGACTTGATGTGTAATCCGTCAACAGTTTTCTCATGATCGTTGAAAACTTTTACAGCATTACGCCAGGTATTAAATGGTTCTTTAAACAATTTACATAATGCATATTTGTTTGGTAAATTTGTACCAAAAAGTGTACATGGAAGACAATATGCACCATCTTCAATTTTAGAGTAACAAAGCCAAGAAAAATCATCTAGCCATTTTAGCAAAAAACGTCTTTTTCTGCTTTTACCTGTTAAAGGGAATTGGAAACATTTATCCGGAACCCAGACATTATTAATTAGAGATAAAAGTTCATGATCATTTGTTCCTGATTTTAATTTTTCACCTTGTAGACAGTATGATGAAACATCATAGTTTGAATAAGATGCTAGCTGATTTGTATTTAATAAACTAATGCCAACAATATTGCTTTCCTTTTGTGGAACATTAGATTCAAGATTCATTTGCTTTTTATCATTGTTTTGGCGTTTTTTGAGATAACTACTTCAGTTTTTACTATTTTATTACAAAAACTAGACTTATATATATCTGAAGTGTTTTTAGAAACAGTAGGGAAAAATAATTTAGACTGAATTGGTTTCTGTATTTTGTTATCTGTAGGTGGAAAACTAGACTTAGAAACTTTTATTTTTTTGATGCTAAGTAAACTTGGATCACTCATAACAACAGCTGGACGTTTTTTAGAAAGATCTTTAACCAGTGCCACAAAATGATTTGGCTTAAAACATAAAATACTTTGGTTTTTTGTTTTATCTAAATTGCACCACAAAATATTTATTGGACAATTTAATTTTTGGATGCGAGGCTCTATAAGAGTATTAAAAAAAACTATGATACTTTTTAAAACCGATTTCAGGATAAATAGATTCAATAGGTTGCTTTATAACATTAGATAATGCTATTAGACAAATGAAAGATGAAAATGTTTTATCAAAGCAATTGAAATACGCTTCTTTTAACAGAAGTTCAGAAATCATATTATCATTAATTGTTGAAAAACTGTCAGAGCATTTAAACGAAACAGCAATAAAAAACAAATTAGAAAGCTGAGAATATTCAGATCTATGTTGATTAAAATAACTACAAAAATAATCATACCTTGTGTAAAAATTTATGTTTTCAAATAACTCAATTGATGTCAGTAATCTTAGAATTTTTGAAGTATGATTATTGTCATTTAAAATCAAAGATACTGAACTATAAACTAATAATGAACTATAAAGACAATTTCCATCTTCAGTAGATCTGAGAAAAATAGTAAAATATATTAAAATATAATAATGAGTATAATATACTAAAATGTAATATCAATAACAAAAAAATAAAAAGTTCAACTATAAATATTTTTTTTTTACTAATAATACATTTTAGTATATACCATAATTTCTTATTAAAAAACTAAATCACTTTTTTTAGGTTATTTGTATGTTTAATAAATAATTTATTTTCATACACATTATCAAGAATATCTGTGTTAATAATTAGTTAAACGTTTAACTAATTATTAACACAGATTTATATTCTATTGGTGTTAAAATACCAATAAATAAAATTAAAATCTAACATTGATCTTACATCTAGATCCAATTTGTGATATTATTTTAATTAAATAATACTTTCATAAAACTCAAAACAAACAAAAAATACCTCAATGCTGAATAACCAAGATTTTTTTTACTTAAGGGTACAAAATCCATCATATCTGTGTTAAATTGGTAAGAATCGTGTATTCTTGGAAACATTAAATTTATTTCCGAAAGCTCTTTAATGAGTCTAGTTTTGTAATTTAAGACATTAGGCCTATGCTTTGTTTCTATTGCACAAGCAACTAGTTCTTCAGTTAAATATGGATTCATATTATATAAATTTAAAAAAATCAAGTTATTAAAGTCACGCTATTTTAGTTTCTAAAGACGATTTTAATAAAAATGTTACGGTAACGAATAAAAAACCCAAATTAGTTAGCTACTATATAAGAGAACATTTTTCTAAATCGGACACGTCAAAACTAACTGTGTGGCCAAGTTTAATTTTCACGGTTGAAAGATCTATATTTTATTATTTATTTGATAGCATTTATCGATTGAATAAAAGGTCGGTAACGTATAATAGGAGCCGTTGTGGCCATGGCAGGAATCTCTATGGCCAAATTACGTAAATTACGGCAGACGTAATGAAATTTTGAGGAATATTACGCTAGCAAAGAAACCCAAAGCTAAGTTGGCTGCCGTTAAATTTTATCTCTATGGCCATAACCCGATAAGGGTTATCCATAAAGTACGTCACGCAGAGTTTATAAGTATTATTGACTCTCTATTGCAGAGAATTTTGAAATAATATAGCGGATGTTTACAGCGTTTTTAAAATTTAAATTTAGCGTGACGTAGTTTATCAACGACGAAAAATGATACGCAAGTCCTAAAATCGTTTTCGATTACATATAATTAAAAATATCTTAATAATTATATCTAAATCTAAAAGACTTTTGATAAGCATTAAATAATTTTTTTTTAATAAATCAATCTGGCTTTAAACTATGTGGCCATGGCCACAATGGCCACCCCTTAGATCCGCGCCTGTATATATATATATATATATATATATATATATATATATATATATATATATATATATATATATATATATATATATATATATATATATTGTCAGTATAAATTATATAAAGAATATAGTCGACTAACTATTGAAAGTTGTTATGAAAATCACTTTGATTGTAAAGACGCCGCCATATTTGTTATGATTTAGATTGCGTTCGGTAAAATGTACGTACATATTGCTCAATGAGCAAAAGCGTTGTTTTTTGTTAGCATATAAAAAAACTTATCAATTTTTAGGCGCCCCTAAACTTTGGCGCCCTAGGCGATTGCCTAGTTCGCCTATAGGGTGCACCGGCCCTGGACAGATTATTAAAATAAGATATTCTACTAGTGTTGTAAAGATTGGAATGATGCTTATACCACGGTAGTTATTTGGATCAGTTAATGATTTTTTATAAGATTTAGCAAGAGGTATAATAAGTGATGTAGACATCGATTTTGGGGCCTGACTGTGGTTAATAATAAAGTTAAAGAATTTCCTTAGCCACTTTGTTAGGGCTTCGCAATGTGCATGTTTTAAATGTTCTGCAGAGATTCCATACGCATCTTTGGTCTTGTTTAATTTTAGGCGAGAGATAGCCGTTTTAATATCTTCATCTGATGTTATTACCATATCAAATTTGGTACAAGGTGGAACTTGAAAATTCGAAGCGGTATACGTCATTGCTTGGGTATTTAACCGTTTTTCGAAACTATCAACAAATTCTTTAGTGATTGATTCCTTGTCCTTTTTATTATTTATAGTAAACAGTTTTGAGTTTGTATCAGACTTTATGTTTCTTAAGGTATTCCAGAAGTATCTTGGGTTGGTATTTTTTAGCTTCTCGATTTTTGTGTATTGTTTAAAAAGGTTACAATTTTGAGCTTTTTTGACAGCGTTGCGGAAATTTTTACGTGCCATTCAATATTGATTAAAAATAAGCGAACTTAAATCTTTTTCAAAACTTATCTCATGCTATTTTTTAAAATGAAATGTAAGAACTTTTTTGCTCCTGCTTAACTCTGAAGTTCACCAAGATTTTGAATATAAAGATTGTTTTTTCAAGAATAAGTGTTGGCTAAGAGCCTCAGATGCACTTTTTGTAATAAAAGAATAGATTTTAATAGGTTCTTCGTCGTAATTGTTATTCGTAAAGTGAAAACTTTTTAGATTCTTATTTAAACACTCATTATATAATTGTATAAAACTTTGACTATTCCAGGAAAATTAGGAATGCTATTATTTTCTATAATTTTGTTAATCTTTTCACGGAGAGATTGGCCTCTGAGTTACCAATTACAATTGATATTGGCAAATGATCACTCATATTTTGACATGAAAAAGGAGCTACAATACAATTCTCATACTGAAGAGAAGTATTCCTTGAGAGAACTATGTGATCAATGTAAGATGCGTTTGGTAGTGTATGATGTTGGTACGTTATTTTCGGGCCAGAACCTTTAATTACGTCTACTAGTTCAAAATTATTTGTTTTTGTAAATTTTGATAAAGCCGTGGAGTAACTATTTTTCGTGAAGCTCGATCTTTCTAATAAATCATATATTCCGTCAGGAAACGATTGAAAATCACAAAGTACAATTACTTCGCCAACACTTTCATAATTATTAATAAGGCCTTTACTTATATCTAACTGATTCTCGTATTAATCCAAAGATGTTCGATTATTTTGCGATGAAGTGAGATAAATAACAATAATGATAATGTTAGTATTATTTTTAATAAGGATAAATACCAATAATGATAATGTTAGTATTAATTTTAATAAAATAAATTAATTTAATATTATTATGTAAGTTAATATTAGTTAGAACTAATTTTCGTATAGTATACGAATAATTCAAAGCGTTAGTTATTGACGCTGTCAGGGCTTTTTAAGCCGTTAAACGTTAAAATACAATTATTTACTTTACTAAGACGCCTTAAAACACTGCGCGTCAGTTTCAATATGAAAGTCTTGTTGAGAAAGTAGTTTGCAACGAGACTTTTCAATTCAACTCTTTTTTTGTTGTCGTCCTAACGGTTAATGTATTAAATTTTTTTTAAATCTTTTTTACCGACTATTTTAAATGTCTCCTTTAACAAATCAAACAACATCTCACGATGAAAAAGATTTAAAATCAAAAAATCCTACTGGGATAAATGGTATTCTCTTAGGACCACCTGGATCTGGCAAAGGAACGCAGGTAATGTTTTCGTTATATCAACGATCCTATAGTTTTATTCCTTTTTGAGTTAAATTTTTAAGTGTTTTTGTCTGTCTGTTTATTAGGCTCAAAAACTAGTTGAACGTTATTGTGTGTGTCATTTGGCTACAGGTAAAATTGGATTTTTATACCAATAGTAAGTTTTCAATTTTTTTTTTGTAAAAATAAATTTTAGCACCTGTTATATATTAAAAATGATAAAATACTTTTTTATAATTGCAGCATTTCTATTTATAATATTTTTAGGAGATATGCTGCGGGCAGTTGTAGCCTCTGGTTCAGAGCTTGGGCAAAAAGTTAAAGGAGTTATGGATTCAGGTCAGGTGAGTAAAAGTTTTGGGTTAAAAAATAATTTTTTTGTTGCATTATGGTTATCATATAAATCTGTTGCATTTGTTGGTATTGATGCAGTGCCAGAATGATTAAATAAGGAAATTTCATGGAAGTTGGAAAAATTATCAGGAATGGTAGCTCATTTAACCTTGTAAGCTTTTTTTAGATTCTGCTCTTGCATTTGTTTACTCCCAGTTAAGTCTCAGAGTAAACAAGTATATATTTTTGATTTTTATACATATGCAAAGGTAATTATATATATATCACTCTATTTGAAATATCTTTTTAATATTGAGCACTCTTTTTCGACTATGAGTTTTGTTTTATTATTATAATACAAAACAGCCTTAAATATCGATATATACGATCCTATTAGTTAAGCACTCTACTCCAAGTTGTCCACACAATAGAGAAAATAAACTTTAATTACCCAGTCAAAAACATTCCTATTCCATCTGAAAAAGAATTCTTATTACAGTTACTGGAGAAGGCTGAAGCACTCATAAAAAAGATGAGGTGGAAAGCTTTATTCTTTCTTAATAAACTTTCTGACGAAACTAGTTCTTCCAAACCCAAAAACTATGGCATTAAATCTGCAAAATGTCCTCCTCATATAAAAGAAATGGCTATGTTTGAAAATGATTTAATTAATCTAGTTAAAAATATTAAATTTCATAAAGTGAACAACAAGTTTCAAGAAAAACTTTCTAGCGATATAAAATTTTTGCGCAAATCACATAAAACTTTAACTCTAGCAAACAAAACCTTCAATATGTACAGAATTTCCAAAGAAGAGTATAACCACCTCCTTAAGAAAGTCGTTACATCTACATATAAAAAGGTTGACCAAAATCTGAAAGATCAAATAAAAATTTAAAGTAAACACCTTTTAACTAATCCAACAGAATTGAATTAAATGGCACCTCCAATTGTTTTATAACTCTAAAAGACCACAAGCATAATTTTTTAAACAACCCTACAGTTCGCCTATTAAATCCTGCAAAAAATGAAGTAGGAAGAATTTCTACTTCATTTTTCTTCAAAATGGCACTTTTCTGTTGTTTTTTTAATTTTGGAATGCAATTATCAAAAGCAATCAGACATAATATAGACATAAAAATATAACATTTATGGTCGTACAAACACGGTAGATATAGAAAAAGTTGTCTTCTATTATAGATTTTACAAAAAAATATAAATATTAGAAATGGTATGGTGTATATATATACATATAATTATTTAATTATGTAATAGGATATTGGAAGTAATGGTCTTTTTTTTTTCTTAAATAGTTTAGCGTTTTAAAAATGTCAGTTTTACTAAAAACTCTAGAAAAATATTTTCTATGTACATAATGCAACTAATATAAATTGTTTTTTATGTTAATTATAAATTGTATATTATATTATATTTATGTTTACTATTATATTATGTTAGTATTTGTGTTTGTACATTTATCAAGTCTACTCAAGCTCAAACAGTATTAAAATGCCCTAAATTGCATTAGCTATTGGGTAATGAACTCGAACTTTGTTTATAAGAGCTGTCTACGCTGAGAACTTTATTGCGTGAAGAATCAGTTATATATTTGAGTACAAGATGTATGTGTATACAAATATTTATTAAAATAAAAGTATTTGAATGTCAGCTAATTCTACAATCCCGTTGGATGTTGAAAATATGCAGTCGATAAACTTGTTATTGAATGGAACACTGCAAAAGACATTGAAAAATTTTCCACTACGAAAAGAAGAAGTATTTATATAGACAAACTTGATAAGTTATTTGGTTTGACAAAATGTAAGTGTAAAATCTTATGCTGTAATGAAAGTGGATGCGATGATTGTCTTTTTAAAACCCATGTGACTTGCATGTGTCCAAAAGTAACAAAGATACCTTTCCAAGATTTTTCCAAGATTCCACTATTTTTCCTATCAGCTCAAGGAAATAAAAGCTTGTAACTAAAGTACTTTACAAATAGGATAAGTTGATGTATCAGAGACATATTGGTTGGCAAGATAATTGAATAGAAAAGAATCAGACTCTAAAATACCTAACAAATAGTGAGGATATAGGCAAATAGTGAAGATATAGGTAAATAATGAAGATATAAGTAAATGCTAAAAATATCACAATTTTTTGTTAATTTTTTGAATCTTTGAATTAAAAAATCTAGCATAACTGTTCTATTAAAATTAATTAACATAGTTTGAGCACTTATTTATTTTTTTTAGCAGTAGAATGTTAAACAACACTAGGTGATCCAGACATTTGCAGCAAAAATGCAAATAATTTAGAAAAAGCTGACCTCAGTTTGAAAAAAAATTGCTTACCAGGGTTTCTCAAGCAACTATTAGGTATGGGGTATCTAATAGAGCTGCAGCAGCCATAGCTACTGCTGTTTCTGCAAAAGATGCAATTTTTTTTTAAAAAATACTGATATATTCATTGATCACAACAAAATAAAACAAAGACTAAGATAATGAAATAAATATGGGGTAAAGCTGGAAAAGTGGCAATGAATGATAACATTTAATGTATTTTCTTTGATAAACAAAAAAACTTAACTTAGTACATGAGAGAAGAAGATAGATAATTACATCCTTCGGAAAAAAAAGAACATTCAGTTTGTTTGAACCTGGAGATATATACTGGTTTTATAACAATTCTGAGGAAAGTGAAAGTGAAAGTGAAGTAACTACTGCAGCTGAGCAAAAAGCTGATAGTTGTTTTTGAATGGATTGCGGATCATGATGTTGAAGATTCTTTGCCAGCATTTAAATTTGTTGAGTTCACACCAATTTGCCATTGGTGTGAACTCAAAAAATTTAAATGCTGGTTGGAAAGGGGGTGTTATCCACTACCATGAACATGAATTGGATAAAAAACTTATAGTTTGTGCTCTTCATACAAATGAACTACCTCTCTGACATCTTATGACTTTTCTGGTTCTATTGGAAAATTTACAGGTAAGGTTACTAGCTTCGAAAATAGCATAATAAAAATTGAATTTCCTAATGCAATGATAGATCTTGATTCTGAAGTTGTACAATCGCTTTCAGGTTATCAAAAGTATTTTTAAAAAATTACCCTTTGCGGTTAAAGCTAGAGTTTTTCCGTACAATTTTAAAAGAAAAGAATTTGGGCCACATATGCACGCAAGATGTTTGAGTATTGCAAATAAAATGTTTACATTGGTGCTCAGAAATCTTACTTTCAGTTAAAGAAACATATCAGAGTTTGAATTAAGTTTATTGCGATCGTTAATCGTGATTGCTTTTCACACCCTCACATGCAATTAGTTTTTTTCAAAAAATTATTGTAGCAATTTGTATTTTTTGTTTATTTGTTTGCTTTTTATTTTCTAATATAGCATTTTTTTGGCCATTTTTAAAATTATAGAATTAAGTTGTTTATTAGGGGTCATTTTTCATAAAGTATTTCACGCTAAGTTTATTTTTAAAATAGAAGTATTATCATTTACTCTCAAAGATTTTCATTCAACATAAAGCTATTTACTTATGCTTTTGAATTTAAGTTACTTTATATCTCTGCGTGGAAGCCAATAATATCCTACTTCTATTTTAAAGTTATAATAATAAATATAAGTACATCACAGTAAATTTACCTATAAACTAAATCAAAACAATCAGTTAAGTTACTACAGTTAAGCTACTCAACTATTAAATTTACTTAAAAAGTTAGCCATACAGATATTTCTATTTATACTTAATGTTGTTAACACGTAAGCTTCTAACTAAAAAATTTTTTAACAAGAAATCTTGAATAGAATATGCAAATGCACTTTTATTTTTTTTATATTTTTATTTTATTTAAAGCGATATCAAGATTAAACATTTTCTATAAATACATAAGTAGTTTTTAGGAATTTTTATTTAAAAAGAGATCTATTTGAACAAGCAACCATAACTATAAATTTGATTGCAGTGAATTCTGTAATACCCAGTGGCATTGCAAGGATCAATCCTGAAAGTCAAACATAGATCTAGCTACAGTAACAATATCAGATTTAGAAGATAGTGCAAGTGAGCAAAGAAAATTATTTAAATCGTAAACATTATGAATAGTAAAATATTGTTTGTAAAGGCATCATTATTTTTTGCCTCTTGAAAAAATTTTTAAAAACAGAAACATTCTATTGCAAATATTAAAGTAGTTATTATTGCAAACATTGAAACAAAAAATGAATTAAAAAAAAAATTTAAATTAAAGAAATTATTTTTCTACTTCTGTTCTAAAAAAATGTTATTAATGTTATAAAACAACAATAAAACAATGTCATGAATTTGTTTATATTAACACAAGTTTTCCTGTTCATGTGCAAGTTATTGAAAGGTGTTTCCAAGAAATCATAAGAGCTTTTCAATTGGTATTTGGAAAAGATAGAAAGATGGGTTCATCAGAGTAACATTAGCACATCGAAAAATCATGCTTGTGAACCAATCAAAAAAAAAGATTTATTCAAATTATTTTAATCACTATAATTTTTTTTTAGTTATTTTCATTTTGCTTTAGGATATTATTTATGATCATAGTAAAATAAATTTAATGTTAAATATATTGTATCTCTTTAATCACATTTTTTTAAGATAAATTTGTAAGCCTTTAGAAAGTTGAATATTTTTATAAAGCAAATAAGTTTGTTTTTTTCTTTTAATATCCTACAGCAAACACTTTATAAATTTTTGTAGGATCTTATAAAGAGTACCACTGAAAATTATGTTTTGTTTCTATTTCTATATTATGCAGGCTTGATCGGGAAGCGGGTGCGATCGCACTTGATAATTGACCATGGAAATATTATTTAGTTGCATAAAACCGGCCAGATTTTTTAGTCGTTTTAAGAACATTTCAAAAACAAACAAAAAAGCGCAACAAGATTAACTGGACAGATAAGAGACAGTTAAAAAAAGAAAATAGCTTTTAACGCAAAAAACTTTATGCAAAATAAATACGATTAGAGCATTTTTGAAACGTCGCTTTTTTATAATTTTTTTAATAAAAGTAAGCGACATTTTTTATATAAAGTAACAACTTACTATTAATGATTGTTTAATAAGGAAACAAATGTTCTTCGATTTATCAAAGAGTATATATAATTTTTATTTATATACTTATTTCTTATTTCCAGTGCTGGATTGAGGAGGTGGGAGGGGGCTATAGCTCCGGGACACACAATGTTAGGGGCTGCAAAACAGTCAAGAGAACTATTCTGTATTTTTTTTAGTCATTTTAGTCACTGATATTTGATATTTTTTAGCACATTGCTTGTAGATTAGGCCCTTTTTTCAAACACAAATGACCCGGATCTGATGTGCAATGAATAATTTTAATGATAAACCATTATTACTATATGTTTTTTTATGATGAATATTGTTTTTCGTTTTTTTAATATTGTTTGTTTTTTTTTTAATTTCTCCTTGGCGAGAGAGGAACTGCTGTCCAAATTTTTTTCCTCAAATGGCTTCTCTCTCTCTCTCTCTCTCTCTCTCTATATATATATATATATATATATATATATATATATATATATATATATATATATATATATATATATATATATATATATATATATATATATATAATTTTATTATTTTACTTTTTTTAAGTTGGTGACAGACGATTTAGTGGTTGAGCTAATTGATAACAATCTTACCAAACCTGAATGCAAAAATGGATTTTTATTGGATGGTTTTCCAAGAACAATACCTCAAGCTGAAAAAGTAAAGCACTTATTTGTGTTACTATTGTTAAGACTTTTAAACTTATTTTTAACAGATAATTTAACTTGTTTCAAAAGTGATAAAGTAACTAAATAGCTGCGTTGTTGTTCATAATTTTACGCCTACAAGTAGTTTTATAGTTGCTTAAGTGTGTTTTAAAATAGAAAATGTTAAAATGTTTTTAACTTTGAGTAATATATTATTTGTTTTATAGTTTTAAGCGAAAAATTAGTTTAGATTAGTTTATTATTTGAAGAACAAAATTAAATTTTACCAAAGAAGTAAAGAATAAATTTAAATTTTAGCAAAAAAAAGACACAAAGTAAAAAAAGTAAAATAAATAAAATATGTCAATAAATTATTTATATAAAAATAAGCTGAAAATATATAATAATATTTTTATGACTGATTTCTCTATAAAACTTGCTTGTTTGTAGCTGGAACAATTATTGGAAAAAAGAAAGACACCATTAGATCATGTAGTTGAGTTCCATATTGATGATGAACTGCTAGTTAAAAGAATTACTGGAAGGTTTGTTTTCCTATTGTAATAAATTATTATAATTCAAAACAGTGAAAGACTAACATTAAATTTATATATTAAGTTTATATAAAATGTAAATTGATGTATGATATATAGTTAAAGGGATTCTAAACCTCCAAGACATGTTGTGTTCACATTAAAGAGAATGATAAAAAAAAAATGTTGGGCTAAAGTTTTTTTGATTACAAAAGAAAAAGATAAACAAAAGAATAAATGCATACCTAGAAAAACTAATTTTTTTATGTTAAAAAAGGCTTGCCTTTTCCATTTTGTTGAAGGCCAAAAAGTCAGCATAATCTACACCGCAATCTACAGGCTTGATAATTTATTCAAGCACGTTTTAATCAAAGAGTTTTAGTAACATCTTGTTCGTCTTTTCTTTTTTGACATGCAAATTAATGCTGATTTCAAGAAGATAATGGAAAATCTGAACACTCCAACAATGGCATGCAATCTAAAGTAACCCGACAGTGCCAGCTTTGATACTCCTTACATGATAATATTACAGAGGGTACTACTGAGTTGTTCTCCTCCAAAGAAGAGCTAAAGCAGCATGAGTATGGTTTTATTAGTGGAACACTAATAAGGTTTACATAAAGGTTGTCATTGACTGTGTAAAATGAGGCATAGCATTGGCTACTAGATACAACAATTGCTTAATCAAAGATGAGGAACAAAAACAGTTTTTTGCTTTGTGGATTTTCAAGGAAAAAAGTTTCAACAAGCTTCTAATACTATAATGATGATGGTGATGATGATGATGATGATGATGATGATGATGATGATGATGATGATGATGATGATGATGATGATGATGATGATGATGATGATGATGTAAAGATGACTTTTTTAAACAAATTTAAGTAGAAGAAATTCTTTAAAAAAGAGGTATCTGAAGAATGCTGAAGAGTGGCTCAACAAATCTTTTTTTTTGGACTAACATTGCAGGCTTGGTCGGGAAGCGGGAGCGATCGCTCTCGAATACTGACCAAATTATATTTAGTTGCGTAAAACTGGCCAGGTTTTTTAGTCGTTTTGAGAACATTTAAGTACGAAATTTAATGTACGAAACAAAAAATTTTTTTTTAGGGACATACATGGAAACATAAAAAACTTGAATGTTCTCAAAAAATCTTTGTGCGAAAGAATAAAAAGAATATTTGAGAACACTAAAAACCCGCCAAATTAACGAACAAACTAATTCTATTGGTTCAAAAAATACGCTGATTAAGCGAAATAAAATTCTAGAGTATTCTGTTAAAATGTTTTAGAAATTGTATTATTCACTATTTGTTACGTTTTGAGATTTCTAGCATTGTTTTAAGAATATATATTATTTGTTTACAAAAATAAATGTTTTAAATATATATTAATTAAGTTGTCAAAATTTTAAAAGTTTATTATAAATCATAGATTTTACTAGTATATTCATATTTTTTATTTTAAAAGAGATTGTATTCTTTATGTAAATGTAATTTTGTGTATTTGTTTTTTATCGTAATGTATCTTTTAAAGCAATTTTCATGATTTAAACAAAGGCTTACAAAAATAATTGCGTTTTCAATGAAGTTATAATCGTTAAAGTTAATAAAACTAATTATGTAACAAACATATAAGAAGTTTCTGGTTACTAAACACAAACAACGCATACAAAGTAAGTCGCGGATGAACAAGCATCGCGCCTGAGGTCATAACAGAACACAAATATATATAGCAAATAATTAGATTTAAAGAAAAGTTTCTAGATATAGGTTTATTAACTCTAATTATTTTTATTAACTCGTTATACTTTTTGCTGCTTTAAATACTAATTAAAATTAAAAAGCCCACTCACTAAACATCATCAGCGATATTGTGAAGCAGTTTCGCTTCCTGGTCATTAAGTATTTTTAACCTTTTTAGTTGATTTCTATCTTGATAATTTAATTCCTATAGTAATTCAATGATTTAATTATTTCATTTGTTTATCTTACTAAGAAGAATCGCTTTAAATATTTTAAACTTTTCCAACTACGCGAAACATAAAATAGGTATTAAAAAAATTAACTTTTTTATTTATAAAATAAATTAAGCTTAAGTAAAACTAAAACTTGCAAACTTAGTTAAATAAAGAATATTTGTTTCCCTTTTAAACAATCGTAAGTTGTTACTTTATATAAAAAACATCGCTTAATTTTATAAAAAAAATTGTAAAAGAGCGATGTTTCGAAGATATTTGTTCTAAATGTAATTTATTTTAAGTTTTTTTGCGTTTAAAGATATTTTATTTGCCTATTTTTTTTTTTTTTTTTTTGTAACTTTCTCTCATCGGTCCAATTAATCTTTGTCGCTTTTTTTTTTTTTTTTGCTTTTTAAAATATTCTCAAAACGGCTAAAAAATCTGGCCAGCTTTTCGCAACTAAATATTATTTACGTGGTCAGCAATCGAGAGCGATCGCTCCCTCTTCCCAACCAAGCCTGACATTGGCAATGGTCTGTATATTTATTGGTAAATGACTACAGTTTTTTGTTTGTTTTTAATTTACCATTTTTATTTTTAGGCTGGCATGCGTGATTTTAAAAACTTATTTTTATTTACTAATTCAGTTAAATAAAAAAGGCAATATAATTGTTTTATTTTATTTTTAAATAAAATAATGAAAATAATAACAAAAAAACAATTGTTTTATTTAAAATTCTAAATGAAATAAAATAAAAACAGAAATTATTAATTTTATTACTATTTTATCTCTATTTTATTAAGATTTAAAATGTAGCATTTTTTTTTTTTAGTTTTTGTTTTTTTAATCTTATTATAAAAACTAAAAAAAAAGTTATATTTTAAATCTAAATAAAATAGTAATAAAATAAATAGTTAAAATAAAATGACAAGTTGAAAGTTTTATTATAAATTTAAAAAAAAATAAATAAAATAATAAAAATAATTTATTATATAACAGTAAGAAAGTTAAATAATATTACTTATATAGATTTGTGTGTGTGTGTGTGTGTGTGTGTGTGTGTGTGTGTATGTATATATATAAATGTGTATATATATATATATATATATATATATATATATATATATATATATATATATATATATATATATATATATATATATATATATATTTATATATATATATATATATATATATTTATATATATATATATATATATATATATATATATATATATATATATATATATATATATATATATATATATATAGCGGATAATCAGCGTTTTTTTTGTGAAAAAAACAATATTTGTGGTAAAAGCTTTAAAAAAAAAAAGGTCCTTAAATTTTAATTTGAGCGGCGCCAAAATACGGTCGATGCTATTGAAAACGACCTAAAATACTCCCTGATATATATAAATATATATATATAACAATAGTTCATGTTATAAAATGTCCCGAAAACTCAAACATTCGCTAACTTGAACGTTTTTCTCAGTTTCTTGGAGGTTCGAGATACCAGGTGTTCATTGTGTGTGTTTGTGTGTCTGTTTGTGTATATAATATATATATATATATATATATATATATATATATATATATATATATATATATATATATATATATATATATATATATATATATATATATATATATATATATATGTTGCAAAAATTAGTCATAAATTAGCTAAATTGAAACTTGAATATCTCAAGAATTGTATTTAGCCATGAAGCCAATTTTTGTTTCAAATAAAAATTTAAAAAAAAATTCTTTTATTAAAAAGTTTTTAATTTTATTTCAAAAATTGTCATCATAGTCTGCCAAATTAGTGAAAAATTAATATCAAAAGTTTTTTAGAAATAGTTGACTCAAATCGAAAATTATTTAAAGATTTTGATATTAAAAGCAATAGTCTTGATAATTTCTTTTCTAACTTTATTGAGGTGAATGAAGTTTATCAAGATTTTTGGAATGTTTTTAAAATACTTTCACATAAAACCATCTTCCATTTAGCATGGCTTTAATATTAATAAACAAACTTTTTTTAAAAATTAAAAAGAAAAATCTCTTAATGCATTATGTCCTATTTAAAATCATTCTGTTTTTCTTTAAACCCCCTGATGCTATTAAAATCAATAATGAACTGCTACAACATGTAAAAAGAGTAAGCACTCAATGCAAAGAGTATTCACAAAGAGAAAAAAGGAGTTAAACAGTATAAATTTGAAATAAAAAAATTTAGAGGATAAGCAATTATAGTTACAGCTAAGTGCAGAATCTTGCAAAGTGAAATAACGTCTTTAATTAAAGAGTCAGATAAGCTAGCCATAAATGCAGAAAAGTAATGTAGCTTTACTCTTTTAAAAAAGTCTTACAAGAAAAATAACAGAGACTCCATCAAACTAAAAAAAATGAGATCCGTTTTCATAGAAAAAAGGATGAACTCATCTTACAATCTAAAGTAATTCAGGAAACAATGAAGCAAATGTCTTGGAAAATTACCAAATTTGTCCTAGAAAATCCTGGAAAGTTCTGGATTTTTCTTTTTATTATCTGATGGAAACCCTGAATAAGTATACCATTAAGGACTGGCAAAGTTGAGTTGAATTTCACTTTACTGCCTGAATTTCAAAAATGAACTTTAATCTAATAATACTGAAACATTACAAGCAACAAACCTTTTCTTTACTGAAGCGCCTAAAAGGTTATAAGAGAATAGTAAGTAGACGTTGCAAAATGATAGATAAAGTCTAAATGGTTTAGTTTAGCTTTTAGTCTATAGATAGTAAACAAGTTTTTAATAAGTTTGTTATAAATACTTATGAGTTGTGTTTTAAATAAAATTCAAATATGATAAAAGTATAACTTCAAAAAATGTCTAAGTTGCTTTTTGTTAAACAGTTATTTTCATAGCCAGACATCTTTGTAAAAACATTTAGCATTGTACAGTTATTGCAATAAGTTTTTTTACTCTAAGTACTTATAAAATTAATTTATAATTAAAAGTTATTTATAAAGTTATATAAATTTACACAGCAAAATCTTGTAAATTTACACAGCAAAATCTTGTAAATTGTTTTTGCAAATCTTGTAAAAAAATTTTAACGTGTACATATTATACATTACGACAACAAAGTATTTTCAAAAAATAATTTTTTTAGTTTGCAAAAATCATATTTTGAGCCTTAGTGACCATTTTATAAATTTTTTTCATTTAAAGAACTATTGAAACATTTTTATAAAATACACTTAATCCTGTCAAAATCTGGTCCCCCTCCCCCTCCCAAAAAAAATAGGGAGGCGAAGGGGGACAGTTTTTTTTGAACTTACCCAAAAAATTTCTTGTAAACGCCCCTGTACACAATAAAAGGGTTATATACAACATATAAATAAAAAATAATGTAAGGGTTAAATTTGGTTTAGAAGTTCAAATTCGTCTTTCAGTTAAATTCGGGCTACATATACGGCTTAAATTCGGTTTTCAGTTATATTCGGTATACACATATGATAAGAATTCATCTTTCATTTAAATTTGAGTCTTAAAAAGTAAACTTCCATAGGTCAAACTCAAGTAATAAAGCCTTTGGTTTAGAAATAACAAATAAACCTTTGGTTAAACAAAAGACACTAAAACATATGATTTGGTCTTCCTAACACTAGTATAACAAAACATTGAATCTCTGCAATTGTTTTTAGAAGAAACTGAGTATTAGAAAGAAGAAATTAAAACACAGGTGCTTTATAACACTTCAAAATTGTATCAATCAAACATTGTGTTAAACTCACTAATCAGATAGTCTAGCAAAGAAATAGTGATAACCAAGTTAAAATAATTTGAAATGCAATTTTTAGGCTTGTTTGAAGCATATTTGGAGGTGTTGATTGATAATATTTTTAACTATAGAGACAAAATCATTTAATGCTTGAATTAGATTTAAACTATAAAAAATATCATTATTACTTGCAAGTTAATAACAAATTTTGATTTTATTGTTGCACTGTGTAAAACAAGACATATTTTTGATATAACTTTTTTTATTAAATTAATTTATTTTATTAAACATAACATGGCTGATGATTAGTTCAAAATGCCGCTTAATTCACAAGTTTATATAGCATTATAAAGAAAAGGTTAGTATGTAAAAGAAAAGCATCATTTCCTTTAAAGTTAGGCGACCAAATATATTAATTGTGTAGAATTTTTGATGTCACGATATCCTTTGAATACAAGAAAGGATAATTTAATAAAACAAAAATTAGGCAGGGTGTATAGCAAAGGGGCAGTACGAATTTTATTTTCCATATTTGACATCCTTATCTCTCCATATTACTTAAAATGCAAGTTATTAAAATGATACACAGTTTAGTGTAATAAAACTGGGGATGTCAATTGATATATACTTGTTGTTTCTAACTAATTTTACCTCCTGGTGATAGTTAAACAACAAAACTTGATAAAAATTCTACTCAGGGTGTATGTCAAAAGCGAAGTCCAAAGTTAATTCTAACTGAAATAATCATTTTGATTTTTTTAAACAAAGTTCTATATAACAAAATAAAATAAGGCATGTCAATTCAAGTTTCTGATTAAGTTATTTAACTCAAAAGTTACTTTAACCTCCATCAAAATATTGTAATTATTATTTTTTAACTATCGCAAAATTACCAAACTGATATACTATTATGTTTTCCCGTTTTTAATTTTCTTCCAACTGTTTCAGATAATTAAACGTGCATAATTTGTTTATTTTTTACTGTAGTTTAGTTTTAATAGTTACTTATAGTAAGACTTTTTTCAACAATATAATCAAGTTGAAAAACTTTTATTTAATTTTTTTGGGTACGTCCAACGACGTAGCAGACATCCCCTAGACACACCCCTGGTGTATGTAGTTCATTATCATATCATAAACTTATAATAGCTTTTCTTTTAAGAATTTGTTTATTAAAACTTTCAAATTATTTTTTAAGTTACAGTTATTCGAACTTTTTATTTGGTTTCATTTATTTTAAAATCTATTTCATTACTTGTATCATGAACTTTTTATTTTTTACTAATTTAGATTATTTCATCTTGAAAGTGGTCGTTCTTACCATGAAGTTTTTAACCCACCAAAACAATCAATGAAAGATGATGTAAGAAAACTAATAATTTCTTATGAATTCATTTAAGGTCCAAAAAGTGACTCTATGGCCCTATTTTTTTATATAACAAACCAATTTTATAAAATTTAGTGTATATTTATTAAATAAGTTATGGTTGTTTGTCTGGATAGCTTTTTTACTTTTTTTTTTAAAGACGTTTAGAAATTTTACATATTTATCTCATCATTAAATACTTTGAAAGTTGTATTTGCAAATTTTATGTATTATAATACTAAAACCTTGTGAAATAATTTGAACAAGAAGCAATTCAAAACAGCCAATGTTTAATTTGTGTTAACGCGTTTACTCGGTGTAGTTAAGGCTTTTTTAAAATATTATAGCGTCTGTATGATATTTTGTTTACTACGACATATTTCCGTTAAATGGTCATGTCTGTGAATTATGAAAAGACAAAAAAAAATATCATAAAATGTTAATATTTATAGTGAAAAAACCCCGAAGATTCTTTTTTTTTTAAATCTTCTTTACAATCGCTTGTCCAAATTTTAATAAGATTTTTAATAAATACATTTTTTAGGTGAAATGAACATTATAGTTTAACAATATGATTTTTCTTAATTATAAGTTCTTTCTTGTTTGGAATTCTAGTATTTTTTGTGAAAATTGATAGAAATATTGTGTTTTGACAAATATTTATAGTTAATATACGTCAGAACCGATTAGAACTAGGATCAGTAGTAAATTAAGGAGTTTTTTCAAAAGATTTTAACTAAATTCAATGCCGATGAGTGGAATTGATCTAAAGACTCCAAAATAGTGTTATTTAAGTTCACTATTTCAGGTAGTAAAAAGGTTTTGAAAATTAGGTAAAAAAAAAAAAAAAGTTTCTTTAAATATTAAAAAAACCTTAAGCAAAAAAATTTATATCATTTAAAGCTCTTGTTTGGACATAATACGCTGATAAAACCATACTAATTCCAAATAAAAGAATTCGAATAATTTGTAAATCGCCTTAACTACACTGAGTATGTAAAGGTTAAATTTCAGAAAAAAAAGAAAATTTTTTTAGAAAAGTGGCTGTATCTTTTATGTATATCTTTAAATGTTTATAATAGTCAGAAGTGGAGTCAGCCAAATAAATAAAAAATTGTTTTAATCTTGTACTAGAAGGACATAACATAGTACTAGTTTCTATATTAGAGAAACTGAAAGTTGTAAATTGCTTAATTCTAATTATTCTTGATTACATTTTATGGTTATTCTTTAATTGTTTTTATAGATTACAGGCGAGCCATTGGTACGTCGTTCGGACGACAACGAAGAAACTTTGCGAAAACGATTAGCAGCTTATCATAGTGCAACATCGCCATTAGTTGCTTTTTATCAAAAAAGAAAATTACACACTCGAGTGAATGCGGATCAGCCGTTGGCATCTGTTTTTGCAAACGTTACAGCAATATTTGACGGTGCATTAGCTAAAAGGAAGTAATTTATGAGAAATTTTCTAAGAATTTGTATGAAATAAATTACTAGAAATATGATATTTTTGATAACGCCCGATGTTTTAAATAGCAGGAGCGGATTGGTCCATTGGTTATCGTTAAAGCGTAATATGGGCGTTCATGTCTAAACCCTAAATCATATTATTGTTACTAAATTATTTTTTTCGTTTGGTTATAGTTTGTTGTTGTTTTGACAAATAAATAAATTTGATATCTACGTAAAAAAAAATTTAGTAGAAAACGCGGCAAAAACGCTTTAAAAGGTATGTTATTTTTAAGAAAGGTACATCAAAGCTTACTTTCCAGACATCTTTGCAATCAAATGGTCACAAATCATTTAGATCAATTTAGCATTTCAAATGACTTTACTTTTATTACAGATTGCAGAAAACTTTAGGAAACTTTAAAAATTAGATAATGTTACGGTTTCCTATTCAAAAAACTACCACCTTAAAAAAACCGTAGACATAAGTTATTCAAAATTTGTACTAAACTAATATTTGAATATTCTCTATATATCCTCTCTATATATCAATAAATCCTAGATAATATGATTTTTTACAAGCTTTCGGGAAAGCAGGTTAGTTTTTTTTCGGAAACTATAATAATATGAAACCCACTAGAATTGGGGAGGCTACTATTTTTGTTTTTAACTGTTGTTATATCAACTATTAACAAAAAAAATAAACTAGTTGCCGCAATTTGTATAGTTAAAGGTTATGGTTACAACCCTCATTCAATGTTACAATTACGTAACACAAAAACATTTAGATTTTTAACAAGAATTAAACTTCTCTTTTTAAATAATTACTTTTATCGATTGAAAATTATACGTTAACATTTTATAAGTATAGGAAATATTTAAAAATATATTCTATTCGTGCGTTTTTATACAATTATGCGATTGTGAATACAATTGTGTATACGCATATAAACATTTATGTATACCCATGTGTGTGTGTATGTACATATGAGTATTATTTATTTAAAGGTATTGTTTAATTATATCTGTAGGAGATCGTACACTACGCGACTAAACGATATGAAATCGCTTTAAATTTTAGAAAACACTATTATGCAAATACGTTTAAAAACTAATTTTTATAGTTAACAGGTTAACAAATGAAAACATTTGGCCTAAATTATTATCTAATTTTTTTTTGATTTCAAAAAAAAATTTACTGCAACAAAATTTGATACTTTTAAAAAAAAAGTTTATATATATATATATATATATATATATATATATATATATATATATATATATATATATATATATATATATATATATATATATATATATATATATTTGTTAAAATCTTTGAGCAAGTAGAAGATTATTAGCTTTCATTTTTACGTCAACAAATTGTTTTTGTTGACCAATCTGGTCAACCACGGATCCTGTAGAAAAGTCAGATGTTTTAAATAAGCAGTTCTTTTCTGTGTTCTCAAAATAAGTTCTTAATGTTGCACCATCTTTTGAGCCACACACTACTTTTTACGCAAATATTGACAAAAACATCTTTTTAACAGCATCATTAGAAAATTAGTTAAAAGCGCTTGACAAACATTAATCTGTAGGAATAGATAGTTTTCATCCTCATATGCTAAATGAAATGCACTCCATAGGCGCACGCAGAATTTTTTGATGTTTCTGACAGGGCACTTTAACACATTGTGCACACTCCAAACTTAAGTATGTTCATACCTTTGCCAAATGAGGAGGCCTTGCAAAAATGCACTACCTCCGGATCTGATTACGTTTAATCAAGGAGTTATAATTTTACAATGTTTACAAACATAAATGTTTACAAACAGTATAAAAACTTGTTTGAAAAAATTAAAAAAAATTCGAAGAAAAACTTTTACTCAAATAAAATAAAAAACTCAAATGGTAATATTAAAAAAACTTGGGATATCATAAAAGAAATAATTGGGACTAAACACTGCAAATCAAATAGTTTATCTGCACAAATTGTCATAGATAATAATGAGTATAACGATCGTAATGTAATTTCAGAAAAATTTAACAGTTTTTTTGTCAACATAGGCCCAAATCTAGCTTCAAAAATCCACTGTCCAAACAACTCATTTGAAACTTACTTAACTAGTGTCAACAGCGAACTAATATTTAAAGAACTAAAAATTGATGAACTCGAAAATGCAATAAACTCTATTAAAATAAACAAGTCTCCAGGTGTAGATGACATTAGCAGTAATATTGTTGCTAATGTTTCTTCGCAGATACGCAAACTTATTTTTGAAATATTCAAATCATCAATTAAAACTGGAACTGTACCAGATAAATTAAAAGTAGCTAAAATTATACCTATTTTTAAAAACGGGTGAAACATTTCAAATAAATAATTACAGACCAATTTCTATTCTTCCAATTTTTTCTAAAATACTTGAACGAATAATCTACAATAGACTATATGAATATCTAATTCAAAACAAACTCTTAGATAAAAAACAATTCGGTTTTCAATCACAACACTCGACAGAACATGCAATTTTAGATATAGTTAATAGCATAAGTGATTCTTTTAATAAAAAGCAATTTGTATTAGGAACTTTTATAGACCTATCCAAAGCATTTGACACAATTAATCATGATATCCTACTTAAAAAAATGGAAAAATACAAAATAAAAAATACTACCCTAGATTGGTTTAAAAGTTATTTATGCAACAGACAACAATGCGTTATTTCGAATGATAATAAATATTCAAATTTACTAGAAATTAAATGCGGAGTTCCCCAAGGTTCCATTCTTGGCCCTCTTTTATTTTTAATTTATATTAACGATCTTCCACAATCCCTAAAAAAACTTGATGCTGTAATGTTTGCTGATGACACAAATTTGTTTTATTCATCAGCATCAATTGAAAATCTCTTTGAATCTGTGAACGATGACCTTGATAATCTAAACACCTGGTTTAAAGTAAACAAGTTATCTTTAAATACAGAAAAAACAAAATACATCTTGTTTCATTCCAACCATCAAAAAAATAATATACCAAGAATGCTGCCATTACTAAAAATTGATAACATAAATATTGAAAGAACTAAAACCGTTAAATTTCTTGGGATAATTATTGACGAAACGATTTCTTGGAAAGCCCATATAAATACAATAAATACAAAAATATCAAAAAGTATCGGCATACTCTACAAAGTCAAACCTTTACTTTCCCAGAAAAATCTTAAAAGTCTCTACTTTTCTTATATACAAAGTTATTTAACATATGCTAGTATTGCCTGAGGAAGTACAAATAAATCTAAACTAAGTTCTCTATATGTACACCAGAAACACGCATCAAGATTGATTTATAATAAAAATAAATTCACTCATGCCGATCCTTTACTTAAAAACTTGAATGCGTTAAATGTCTATCAAATTAACATCTACCAAAATATTTTATTTATGCTCAAATATATGCTCGGGCGTGTCCCATCTCATTTTACTAAAAACTTTTTTCAAACCTACGCCAACAGATATAGCACAAGAGGAACAGGAAATTTCACCCTGCCCATTAAAAAAACAAAATTTTCAAGATTTTCAATTGCATACCGTGGCCCCTACTTATACAACAAAATAATATCTCAAAATATAGAACTTACTAAATTAGATAATCTTACTATCCTTAAAAAAAAATTAAAAGATCTTATAATTAACAAAACCAATTTTATCGATATGTATTAATTGTAAAAGAAAATGAATATAATAAATGTAACAAGAACAATTTAAATTTTAAAATAAATAAATAAATAAAAATAATAATAATAATAAATATAGTAGCAACTATACATAGTAAAATATTACTGAACAGTGGACCTCAAAATTAATGAGTGTTTTGTGAAATTACTCTTTAAATTTTTTGTTCATTTTGCATTTTAAAGGTTCTCGGTGAAAAGACTTCTCTTAGTCTTCTGCGAGTTTCCTTACAACAACATAGCGTATTATGATATATAAATATATTTTTTCAACGATAACCACAAGCAAGTCCCTAGTAGCCCTGTGGTGCCACGGACTTGCGTATATTTTTTAAATGCATGGGTTAATAGCCAGCACTTTATATTATAAACCACGATTTTTTACTTTTTATTTTTTTTATTTTTCTCTTAACATTTCTAACCCACTGTAATACGCCAAGGGTGAAACAGCATTGTTAACGCTCTTTAGATATTGCAAATATGTGTTGTGGACATTTATATAAAACAGGAGTCATGTAAATATTTGTTCTTGAAATATATAATAATTGTTGTAAAAAAAAAAAAAAAAAAAAAAAAAAAAAAAAAAAAATATAGCTCAACTGCTCAAAAATAAAAAAAATATATAGCTCAAAAAATATATAGCTCAAATAGCTCAACTGGAGGGAGAACGAAGTTAAAATGCATCATTTCTCAAAGAACAGTCTTAGTATTAACATAATTTTTTATTAAATACCGCGGAATTATCATAATTTAAAGTTAACCAATCACATTCCACTCTTAAAAAAAAGCTATCCAAAGATACTGTTTCAAAACGTCATAAGCAATTAAAGCATTGCAAATAAAAAAAGTGAAGTTTAAAAAGTTCGTAAACAATATTTCAAGTCAGTTTGTTGTAATTTTTTTGCTTTTTGAACGACTAATAATAAATTTCTAGATTAGAACTGAATTAATAAATGTCTAGATAAAAATTGGTAGTATTTTTGCCATGTATTTCTATCTCTATATTTAAAATAAAGCAATTTGCTTTTAAACCCGGAAAAAATTCCTACAACTAATAAGTTCTTGGCCAAAAGAACAGTTTTAAAAAACGTAACTAACCTATAGCTGAACAGACAATTTAAAATTAAGGTTCAAATAAGTAGTTGAGATTGTCTAAAACTTTGATATTTATACTTATAATTAGGTACGCAAGAAACGATTACTTCACCTAAATCGTGAGTTTTGTTTTAATTAACTTCTTGATTGATCGAATAGTTGTTAAAAACACATCCAATAAACTTTTATTTTATTAATCCATTTCGATTACAACTCTCAATGCTTACTGATTACAATTC